CGTCGTCTCTTCACACCATCAACATCATCTTTATTTTAGGCCGGATTTCTTTGGGCCTGTGTTCGGGTTGTCTCACCACCAACCCTCCCTGTAGAACACAGGCTCAAAAAAATCATCATTGTCATCAGCCTTTAGGGTTGAGGGTTTAGGGTTTAGGGTTAAAGGGTTGTCTCACCACCAACCTTCCCTGTAGAACACAGGCTCAAAAAAATCATCATTGTCATCAGCCTTTAGGGTTTAGGGTTTAGGGCTTAGGCTTGAAGGTTCAAGGTTTAGGGTTGAGGGTTTAGAGTTTAGGGTCTACAGTTTAGGCTTTAGGGTTTAGGGCGTGGGACTTGGAGCCCCAGGTTTGCTTGCCCATTAAAGGATTGAAGGCTGTAGCTTTTAGAAGGGTTTGCTAAACTCTGCTTGGAGGTTTTGGGGAAGTTAGAGGACCCTCCCAAACACGCGAATGGTTGCACACAATCAGACCTCTTTGGCACGGGCGCGGACACTCTAGACGTCACTGCCTGAAGGTTCTTCCAGCAAGGCTGCCAGCAGTAGAGCTGAGTCATCTACCAGCACTGCGAACCTCTCAAACATTTCAGCATTCCTTGCACCGGCACTGTACACGTTCCGGCTCTGCTCTAGGTGCGCCAAGACTATCTTCATCTCCGAGAGCATGCCTTCTGCAGATTGTCTCCATGTAGCAGGGTCAAACTCCAGAGCCACTTGCAGTCGAAAGGACATCGTGCGAGCCTGCTGACATGGCGGCGGGACGCCCGCCCGCACATGCTCAGCCCACCACCACCTTCTTTCCAAGATAGAGGTCGTGATGTCTGTCACGGTCTCTAAGACGTCAAGGTCCTAGCAAGCTCTGCAAAACACATCTGCGCAATGGCACACAGGGTTCCGGAATATTACCTGCTTTTCTTCAAGAGCCCGAATGCCTGGAGGCTCTGTCCTGGCCCCACGCGACGCTTCACCATGTACAGACCCAGCGCCACGCGGTGGATCAGCAAGAGGAAGTATCCGCGCCACTGCTCCAACCCTTGCGCATGGTAGTGCTTGCAGGCGGCCACCTGCTGCAACTGTTCGTGCGCTTTAACCCGAAAGCTGAAGCACCTTTGAAGACTGCAGCCCTAAAGCTCCCAATCTAGACCTAAAACACCAGCTTCCAAAGCTCCCGGGAAATTGAGGCCTGCAATGCTGCCACGGCATTCGCCACGTTAACCAAAGGAGCCATACTGCACGGCTTCTCTCTCTGTACCAAAGCTTCGGGAGCCCAGATACACTGCGAATAGCAGCCTTCATCAACTCCGCTGCGTGCTTGAAAGACGTGTGTACAAGAGCTCAGACTGTTTGCAAGGACTCCGCTACACATGCTTCGGCTGCCACTTTTCTTCCCCCTTTACTGAAGCTCGGCCCCACGTCGCAGAGCTACGCGGATGTCTCTATTGACTTCCGCGTGTCTATGCCTAATGCTGCTAGGCAGCTTTGCAATATCCCCTCTGTACAGTTCATACTGCCAGCATGAGCGACGGCCTCTGTTGTCGTACTTGAACCACTCCTTGCAACGCAGCACTACCTTCCCCGACAAAGCACCTGAAAAGTGCACGTACGGCACATAGGCTGCCGCGCATTTTGCGCAGCGGCCATACTTCGTGCTCCGCGCGGCTGCTCTCAGGCGTGCGCCACGGTCCAGGCGGCGCCACTCGAACACACGTGGCCTGGTCGGCACGGGCTGCCACGCATCCTCGCCGAATGACCGCATGACGGCAACTGGGTTTAGGGTTCAGGGCCGAGGGTCTGCCTGTCTTTTTGGGAACAATATCTTCAAGACCCTCTTAACTTTTCACAAGCTGTCCTGAATGTAGGACATCTCCTCTTCCAGTTGCAAACGAACTTCCGGAGGCATTGGACAAACCCTGCTGCTCCGCCAAAAGCAAGTGCTTGTCCATGCATCCTTCGCAAGAGAGATGGTGTCTTTAGAAACTTTCTCTGAGGTTTACACCTGAGGTCTCAGGTTCTAGGCTGGGATATTTAGGCTTTCGGGTTTAGGCTCTTCGGTTTAGGCTTTAGGGTCACCCGAGGACGGTTCTGGATGCTTGAGAAAGGATATGTCCTGCACGTAGGACATCTCTTCATCCAGCTGCTGCCGTACTTCCCAGGGCATGGCACACGCCGTCTGAGCACGGCATGCCTCGACGCACGGAACGGCATCCTGCCCAAACTGACTTGCTTCTGGCTTTCGGGTTGCGGGTTTAGGCTTTTCGGTTTAAGCTTTACGAAAGCCCGAGGAGGGTTCTGGATGCTTCAGAAAAGATTTGTCCTGCAGGTAGGACATCTCTTCATCCAGCTGCTGCCGCACTTCCCAGGGCATGGGACACGCCGTCTGAGCACGGGATGCGTCGTCGCAGGGAGCGGCATCCTGCCCAAACTCACTTGCTTCTGGGTACAGTTTCGGCTTGTGGGTTTAAGGTTTATGCTTGAGGCTTTAGGGTTCAAGGTTTAGGGTTCAGGCTTCAGGGTTTAAGCTTTAGGGTCGAGGGTTGAGGCTTCAGGGTTGAGGCTTTAGGGTTTCGGCATCAGGGTTTAGGCTTCAGGCTTCAGGGTTTAGGGTTTCGGCTTCAAGGTGTAAGGTTGACGCATTAGGGTCCAGGGTACGGGGAAAACCCACCCTGAAACACACCAAAACAGCCCTGAAACCCTGAAGCTGAAAACACCCTCACACCAGGCCGGAAATGAAACCCAATCCCTATAACCACACAACCTCCCTGAAGTAGGGACTAGGGTGACACCAAGAAAGGGTGAGGACAAAACGCCGACAAGCTTATAAACCCTTGCACGGGGCCATGCCATGCTTCTTGGTTTGCGCGTGTCATCTTGCTGCAGAGGCTGCGTGTGCAAGGCCCTTGCCTCGCCTAGGGTTTAGGCTTTCGGGTTTAAGGTTCAGGGTTCTACAGTTTAAACATAAGTCAATTGACCCTGCTGTCCTCCAAGTAGGAAGCTTCTTCCTCAAGCTGCAGAACTACTCCGTTCCAAAGCCTGCTCTCGGACAGCTGACCCGCGCACCAGCCTTGGAGAAGATGGTGGATGAACCGAAACTTAGCACGCTTGAAGTTATTTAATAACAGCAAAAACGCCGGCGGTTCAACAAACAAGAATGAATCTGCACACAGACACTTTTGTATTTTCGTGTTCGAGGAGAATCCTGGCCAGACCGTGGACTCGGCGGCCCGCTGTCCAGAAACATGCCCGTAAACAAAACGACATCGCGATCATCCACGGAAGACATGAGGCTGGAAGCTCGGGGAAGCTAGTCTGCATGTATCATGAAACAGCAATGTGATCGCCTTTTTTTCCCTGTCGGGATTAGCTTAAATCACCATGGGCCTCTGCTCCTGCTCTACTCCAGCTGGACACAGCAGCGACTGCATCTCTGAAAACTGCTTACCAAAAGCACTGTCATTGGCACGAAACTTTCAGAACAGAAACCCTGCGACCTTGCAAGCCAACTGACTCTTTTCAAATTCTTTCTCGTCTAAGGTGTTGCGAACTGTACCTTTGCCGGACCACTCAGTTTGGAGTAAGCCCTGATAACCCTGCTCATCTGCCGGAAAGACAACAATCTTCCCAGAAATTCTCTTCTTTAAAAGAAGCACATGACTCGTTTCGGTGTGTGAATCATACTCATGCATTGCGTTCTCTCCGCAGATGACCATCCCCACCCCACCGATCAGGGAATCCCTAAAAAACTACGTAAGCCGGAAGCTCTGGCCCTCCAGCTCTGTGCACTGCTGCAGCCACTCTTCCGCCTGCTTCCACAACAGCCGCGGATCGTCCTTGTCCAAGAAAAACTCGTAGAAAAGCTGGAATGCCTTGCCCAAGTTTTCAAGACCTGGAGCCCTTCGAAAGTATGCTGCCGAAAGCACGGCACGACACTGTTGCTTGGTGCTTGGCAGTCTGCCGCTGTTCAATCTCCGCACGGCCACCTTCAAAGCCCCAATGTAGCCTTCGACCATGTTCGTGGAGACACGAAAGCGAGCACTGTTCTTGGAGCTGGAAGACTTGGCTTCCAGACGTTGCCGCAGCCTGTCTGTCAAGGTTGCCAACGGAAGCTTTGCAAAACGGCTGAACTGCTTC